TCCAGTTTTTCCAGCACCATTTGCTGAAGAGGTTTTCCTTTTCCCAGTGGATTGACTGGTACCCCTTGTCAAAAATCAGTTGACTGTATGTTTGGCAATTTATTTCTGAGAACTCTATTCTGTTCCATTGGTCTACATGTCTGTTTCTGTGCCAGTACCATACTGTTTTGATTACCACAACATTGTAGAATATGTTTGGGTCAGGGAGTTAGATGCCACCCACTCTACTCTTCTTGTGTAGAATTATTTTGGAAATACGGGGTCTTTTATGATTCCAGACGAATTTTATGATTGTCTTTTCTAGATCTGTGAAGAATGTGTCTGGTACTTTGATTGGCATTTCATTAAATATGTAGATTAATGTGGGTAGAATTGCCATTTTGATTATATTAATTTTTCCAATCCAGGAACATGGGATGTCCTTCCACTTTTTTGTGTTATTTTCATTTTTTTTTTTTTAGCTTATCATTGTTTTCCTTGTGGAGGTCTTAAATTTCTTTGGTTAGATTTATTACTAAGTATCTTATACTTTTTGTGGCTATGGTAAATGGAATAACATTTTTCAGTTCTCAGTCTGCCTGTTGTTCATATATAGAAATGCCCTAGACTTCTGTATATTGATCTTTTATCCTGCAACTTTACTGTATTCATGCATTACTTTCAGAAATATTATCATGGAAACCATTGGGTCTTCTATGTATGCAATTATATCATCTGCGAATAGAGAGTTTCACCTCTTCATTTCCTATTTGAATGCCTTTTATTTTTTCCTTTCTTCTGATTGCGTTGGTGAGGACTTCCAGTACTACACTGGAAAGGAGTGGAGGAAGTGGCATCCTTGTCTTGTACCCGGTTTTAGTGGGAAACCTTTCAGCTTTTCTCCATTCAAGATGATGTTTGCTATGGGTTTTTCATACATAACTTTCATTGTGTTGAGAAATGACCCTTCTATTCCGATTTTGCTGATGGTCTTGATCATGAAGGGATATTGTATCTTATCAAATGCTTTCTTGCATCAGTCAATATAACCATATGGTTTTTATCTTTATTCCTGTTAATATGGTGAATTACACTTATGATTTTGTGTACATTGAACCAACCTTTCATTCCTGGAATAAAGCTTACCTGATCATGATGTATAATCTTTTTTATAGGTTGTTGGATATGATTGGCTAGTATCTTATTGAGAATCTTTGTGTCTATATTCATCAGAGATATTGGTCTATAGTTTTCCTTTCTTGTCCTGTTCCTAATTGTTTTAAGGATAAGGGTGATAGAGGATTCATAGAATGAATTAGGGAGAGATTCACCCTTTTGGATCTTTAGAAATAACTTGAGCAGAATGGGGGTTAACTCTTCTTTGAAAGTTTTATAGAATTCAGAGTTGAAGCCGTCAGTAACAGGGATTTTCTTTGTTGGCGTTTATTTATTATTGTTTCAATCTCTTGGCTTCTTATGGGCCTATTCGGATTTTCTATATTCTCCTGGCTCAATCTTGGTAGCTTATATGTATCTAGAAAATTGTCCATCTCATCCATATTTTCTTGTTTCTTGACATATAGTTGTCCATAGTATCATCTAATGATAATTTGTATTTCTACTTTGTCTGTTGTTATATTGCCTGCTTCATTGCAGATTTGATTTACCTGGTTCCTTTCTCGCTTCTTCTTAGTAAGTCTCTCTAGTGGCGTATCAATTTTGTCTATCTTTGCAAAGAACCAGCTTTTACTTTCATTTACTTTCTGTATAGTTTGCTTATTTTGTATTTCATTTATTTCTGCTCATATCTTTATTATTTCTTTTCTCCTGGAGTTTTTTGGATATTTTTGCTGTTGACTTTCCAATTCACTAAGGCATTATGTT